GCTATGGGGGGAAGGAGTGGCCGGGTGGTCCCTGGCTATGGTGAGCCCCCCACCCCACAAGGCGGGTATGGGGGGAAGGAGTGGCCAGGTGGTCCCTGGCTATGGTGAGTCCCCCACCCCACGAGGCAGGCACGGGGTGGGGGGTGTGGGGGGGAATGGCCAGCACCTGACCTGTCTCCTGCCCACAGGCTCGGCAGGGCAGAAGGGCACCATTATGGGCACACTGCGGAGCCTGGGCGCCCTGGCACGGGCGGTGGGGCCTGTCGCCGCCGCCTCAGGTGAGCGTGGTGGGCACAGCAGTGGGGTGTGTGCGGGGTCCCACAGCTCCCCCCGCTCCCGGCTCGCCCCTTGGCTCCCCACGGCCCCGTCAGCGGCATCGCCGGGCCCTGTCTCTGCAGTATACTGGCTGGCCGGGGCCCAGGCCTGCTTCACCGTGTGCGCCGGGCTCTTCCTGCTTCCCTTCCTGCTCCTGTGCCATCTGAGGCCGCCGCCCCTCAAGGCCAAGTAGCTGCACCTGCCCGCCACCCCACACTGCAGGAGCGCCCCCAACTGCAGCAGGGAGCGGAGGCCCAGACCCCTCGCTCCCTCCCTGGGCCGGACTCTGGGCGGCTGGGCCATCGGCCGCGGTGTGGACCCCAGTGGGCGGAAGCCTGGGCAGCACCCTGGGGCCGCCCTGTCCACTCATTTCCACGCACAGTGGCCTCCTGGCCCACGCTGGTTTTCACTCCCAGCAGGGTTAATAACTCCAGGCTTCCTGGCTTTTTGCTCACCTGTTTGTAAGGACACACTCCTACGTGACAAAATAAAGCAGCTGTTTTATACTGAGTGCCTCTTCCACATGAGCTCGGCTTCGCCCCCCAGGAAGCCCCACGACCTGAAGCAGGGGTTTGGCTTCCATTCTGCACAGTGGTGGGTGTGGCGGGGTGTGTGCTGAGGACCCTGGGGACGTGGGGTGGGCCCTGCACCCCAGAGGGCTGCCCTTACCAGGGGACACCCCCATCCCAAGTTAGAAACATCCCTTGCTGTCTGCTCAGAGGGAAGGAGGGAGACTCCTGGGTCTGTGTACGCCATGGGACCGAGGCCAGTCAGGCCAGCACCCAGGCTCCCTCGGCCTCAGCTACTGGTGTAGATGGCGCTGGGGGGTGGGAGGCAGAGGGCGGTCCCTGGGAGGCTCCTGGGGAGGACCAGCCAGGCCTTTCCAGTCAGTCTCAAGCTACTGACATTTAATCAAATGGAGAGCTGCTCTTGGGCCACGAGACAAGCCTCTCTGGAAATCCTATTTTAAAGGAACAAAGACTAAGGAATTAAAACTCTTCCCTAGTATTGGACAAGGAAATGGCTTAGAGAATTTTATTTGTGAGTAAAACAATGTTACAATGAAGAAAGGAAATACAGGACCTGACCGCCGAGGTCTGTGTCCATATATGCAACTATATTTCATAATGTAATACAAAGAATTAAAAGAAGCTACAAAAGTGGAGAGGAAGTCCCTGCGAAGGTGGGAGCAGAAGGGAGTGAACTGAACGCAGCGATGGAGAACGGGACCAGGCGGCACAGCAGAAGGAAAGTGGCTTGCGCAGGAGGCAGGCCCCACGGGGTTAGCAGGAAAGCTCCAAGCGTTAGCGCCATGCAGCCAGCCTAGGCCTGTCTGGGGGTCTGGTCCACACTCCGAGGCGGCTCAGCCCACCCATGCCGGGACCAGAACCCCCCCCAACGACCCTGGCCACCTCGTCAGTCCCTCTGCCCAGTGGTGGGCCTGTCTGGCTGCACCATGCCTCGTCAGGGTGGCACCAGGCAGCTCCAGGGAGGGACGGCCCCCTCGAGTCCATCTGGCCACTCACCAGCTCCCTCTGAGCAGCTATTTTCTAAGGATCTGAGTTAACTGAAAACTCACGGAGGTGTCAGCCAAGGCTCTGTAAGTGACTCAGGTGCAAGACGCCAAAACGGGACCGTTAGAGTTGACTTCTACATTGAGTTACCTCTGATCAAAACCGGGCATCTTTCAGGCTGAGTTAAGGTAAGAATAGATGCCTTCTCAGTTCCAGAAACTTCACCAGAAAAGGGCATAAGCAGTGCTCTGCTGCCGTCTGTGGCAGGTACTACAGAGGTAACTGAAGAAAAAGGGGCCTGTTCATGTTCACAGTCAGAAAGGCAGACTGAGTTGCAAATCTGCTGAAAATTCTAGAAAGGACTCTTCCCCCTCCTGTGACAGGAGTCGAGACCCCAGCAAGTAAGACACTGTGAGTTCCTGAATCTGTTTCTGGTCGAGGGTCGTCTGTCAGACCCTGAACAGGACGGTGCCGTGTGCACGGCCCTGTCGCGGGGTCTCTGGCCAAGCACCCACCTCCGGCCCCTCTTCACGGCCGCCCAGCTGGCCGGCCGGAACGTGAGTGTTTCCACAGGACCAGGACTGTGTTTATGAGTCAGGTCAGGTCATGTGAGCACGTGATGCCAGCAGGAAGCCAAGAGATGCCTGAGGTGAGCAGAAGCCTAGCGGAGAAGACGCCTGTTAGCTCACGGCAGGAAGGAGTGCGAGGGAGACGGCCAAGGCTCAGGAGGTAAAGGCTGTCACCAGAGCTAGCAGAAGCCTCCAGGAGCTTCCAACCAGCCCCAGGCCCAGGCCCACTGTGGGGAGAGCACATCTCGGGAGCCGACTGTGGGACTGGCCAACGGTGCTCCCCACAGCAGGGGGCAGGGGTGCGAGAGGGATGCAGAGAAGCAGCTGGGGGCAGGGGGTGGGGGGTGGAGGGCCAGCGCGCGGGGCTGGGTGGGCTGCTGTGCGCACACTAGGTTAGCACCGTCTGCATCGGGTTTGGTCACGCCGTCAGAGGTGAGCTCGAGCTACAGGGGAGGGGCTGGCTTTGCATTCCATTACACAAGAAGACAGAGCACAAGACACAATCGGGCATTCTGAGGGGCCGGGGGGGCAGCTTCAGACACGACAGTGTTGGGAGGGCCTTCAGGAGTCGCTCTTCTTCTTGCTCTTCTTCAGGAAGGAAGGCGTGCGGAATTTCTTCTTCTTTTTAGAAGGGGACTTGCCTGGGGACCCATCACTGCCAGGGTCCACGGCAGCCCCTTCCTCGGCAGCTGGAGAGGCAGCCTCTTCAGCCACCTGGGCTGGGGCTGGCTCGGGGCTGGCTGCCAGGGGTGACTTGGGAGGGCTCTGAGGGTCGGGGGCTTCCCCAAGACCCTCTTCCTCCTCCTCGTCTAACGTCGGGAAGCCAAGCGCTTCTGAAGGCTCATCAGGGGAGAGGTCAGGGAGAGTCGGCTTGAGGGCGGCAGCATCACTGTCATCTCTCACAGTCTGCTCCTGCGGCAGGTCTGGGGCAGGGGCAAGAGAGTCAGGGTTAAAGTGCCGCTGCCCTGGATTTCAAAGGGGGCCAGAGACCGTTTTCACCAAGACAAGAATAAGAAACAGTAAGTAACATCTACTCTACTCCGAGGGTGGATGGAGCTATGTCACTCACGGACAGTGGACTGGCACACTGGTTCAGGCCCAGACCTTAGTCCTGAGGGGCCAAAGCAAGCTGAGAACATCTGCCATGGTACAACATTCTGCATTCAACACGTGGAAGACTGCACTCTGTCATCTGAGGGCACGTATGAGTGGTCCTAATGTTAAGCCTAAATGGGGTCTCCTCCAAGGTCGCAGGTAGAAAAGCCCCGAGCGAATTCCCAGGCCCCACGTGAAGCAAACGCGGTATCTGGGTGGGAAAATCCATGACAAGAACCACAGAAGAGCTAGAAACAAGGGATGGGGACGGAAGGCAGGCCTTCCCACCGCTGGGGCACTGGGGCGCAGGAGGCCAGAGCGCACCTGATCCGGAGCAGCACGGACCCAGAGGAGACAAGCCTGAAGGTGGTCTTTTAAATGGCCGACGAAGTTCTGAGCGGCTGGCACAGTAGCCAACACCAACCGTTCAGTCCTTCAAAAATCAAGCCAGCCCGCAGGCTGTGCTAAGGGGCTGAGCTGCGCAGTCAGGAGGGGCCCCAGGAGGCTCTGCTCCCCGAGCCCTAGTGCTGGAGCAGGGCGGGCTGGGATTGCACCCCCAGGGCCGCTCACCCACCCCTGCTAGACCCCTTTCCCCGAGGACCAAGGAAGGACTGCGGCCCACACGCCTCTGACCCTGAGGAGTTAGAATCCACTCGCAAAGCGTGCTGCGGTTAGCGCCAGGGCGGAGGTTGCCTGTGGGTGCTCGGAGGACTGTTAGGATTTGACCCAGTGTCACTCTTGTGCCTCAATTAAAACGACCAGTCCCCCCACTCAAGCAAAGGTCCAAACAAATCTGACTCCCACGCACCTGGAGGCAAGCTCTGACCCCGTTCTGAACCTCATTCAGATTTACATCAGATGGAGTATGGCAAAATGTTCCCACCAAGCAGTCAGGAGAACCCCAAAGGCTGAATGGGAGAGTAACCGCCCCCCAAGCCCTGAGTAGAGCAGGACAGGCCCGCCACACGCACTCGGGTGACCAAGCCACCTCAGAAGGCCACGGCACAGAAACTGGGGGCCGGATTGAAAAGGGAGTCTCTATGTTTGTTTCAAGTAAACAGAAAACAAAACTCAGCAAACAACAAAGAAGCCAGAGCATGAGGCCAAGCACAGGAGTCCGGGTTAGACAGCGGCGGGCCGAGGCGAGCGGTACTTACTATGGTAACAGGTACTCTCTAGCACATCCATCTCCTGTTTGCAGCGCAGCCACAAGAAGAGAAAAGCACAAGTAGAGAATCTGTGCATCCAGTCACAGCCATCGTCACACAGAGAGAATGGGCAGAGCCATCCTCGGACACCACAGGACGAGAGGGGAGCCGCGGGCTTCCACAAAGACAAGGGACACCGGTGTGCAGGGCCGAGGGACAGGACACACCAGACCACAGCACGTCACAGACACGTGGCGGTCGGAGAGGCGGACAGAGTGTCGGGCCCTCGTTGGACTGGTCCAACACAGCAAGTCAGGTAACAGCTTCCCAGGTGTAGTCTGAACACAACGGGGTGTAAGCAGTGTGCAAGCACTGGGCACAACAGACATCACAAACAGTGCTGGGGCCACTTCCTGCAGGTGCCCACCCCCTTGTCACAACACCGCACTGAGGAACTGTCCTGCCCCGAGTCACCCAGGCAGACGGGCGGGGCGACCTCACGGCCGGGCGATGTCTGTTAGTGTGAACAGAACCGGTGCCAGACAAACAGAGGGCCAGGCACTGGCCTGCACGGGCAGCCGCACACCCACCTCCCCCAGATGCTCACCTTCCTCGAGCTTGATGGGGGTGCTGGGGGGGGTCTGGGGTGCAGCAGGGGGGTCTGGAGGGCTCTTGTCTTTCTGCTCTCTAGTCTCGTCCACGTTCTCTGCAGATGCACACAGGTTGAGAAGAACAGGGTAGAGAGTGCAGACACTGTGAGCACCACCGCCTCAGTGGCCGGTGGTCAGCCCCATATCATGTGGACCTGCACGTGGTGCCAAAGGGCTGCACGGCTCCCAGAAAGGCCAAGGGGCCCTCCCGACAGCCCGACCATGCTGAGAGAGGACGGGCTGGGCCGGGAAGGGCGCACAACCACGTCACCTTCCTCCTTTTCCTTAGTCCTCCCCAAGGGAGGACGGAAGAAGCTTGTTATGACTGGAGTGTTGATCTGAATTTCAGAAGAAATTAACCCACTTCGGATGCAAATTTCTATTATTATTGGAAGAAACTCATCCAAAGCTGCTTCTGCAATGGATGGCATGGTGGTCCCTCGCGCTGTCCTTGCCGGCCTCCACAGAGTTCCCACACTGCCTGTCCCTGCACTGAGCACCCCCACCCTACTCACCACTTCTGAGTGTGCGCTACGTCGGCAGTGTGCGCTACGTCGGCAGTGTGCGCTACGTCGGCAGTGTGTCACGTCAGCAGTGTGTCACGTCAGCGGTGTGTCACGTCAGCAGTGTCACGTCAGCGGTGTGTGTCACGTCAGCGGTGTGTTAAATGTCAGCGGTGTGTGTCACGTCAGCGGTGTGTCACGTCAGCGGTGTGTCACGTCAGCGGTGTGTCACGTCAGCGGTGTGTGTCACGTCAGCGGTGTGTGTCACGTCAGCGGTGTGTGTCACGTCAGCAGTGTCACGTCAGCGGTGTGTCACGTCAGCGGTGTGTCACGTCAGCGGTGTGTCACGTCAGCGGTGTGTTAAATGTCAGCGGTGTGTGTAACGTCAGCGGTGTGTCACGTCATCGGTGTGTCACGTCAGCGGTGTG